GCCCTCCCACCTCCATCCCTAGACGTTCATGCAGCTTCTCCCTTACCTCTCTTAATATTTTGTTCAAATGTTACCTTTGCAGTGAAGCTGTTTAGTATTGCAGCACCCATGCCCTGCATTCACTATTCCCCATCCTTGTTTTCTTTCTCTGTAGCACTTATCACCTTTTGACATTGCATACATTTACTTATACATTTTTATCCTGTGTCAACTCACACTGGCCTCATGAGGGCAAGGATTTCTTTCTCGCTCTGTTTTTTGTTGTTTGCTTCGTTTTGTTTTATTGATATTTCTTGTAGCACCTAGCGTGGTGCCTGGCACATAAGTTCTCAATACAAATTTGTTGAATGAATAAAAACGGGAGTTGTTTAATATTTTATGAGGTATGTTGGTATCCTGAGTACACGTTAATAAAATAAAATGAGCCAAAATGCATGTTTGCTTATCTCAGTTTATCATTTATTTATATGACACCTATCATTTCTTGAGAGTAGTGGTGACTTATTTGAAGTAATCTGAACCCATTGCTAATTATATAATTTGGTTAACTGTTTAACCAGATATGTACTTAATGGCTAGAATCTGAATTAAAGGGATGTAGACATCTTATGCAAACCACGTTTGGAAAGCCAAACTTATACTGACAGGTGAAATCATTAAAGAATTGGTTAGGAAGAACTATCAATAAACAGAACTGCTGGGGGAGGGGGAATAAACCACCTTTTGATCTGTTATATTCCTTAGACTTGATAAATACCTTTATTCCACATAATAGGCAACTTAATTATTTACTTTGGCATTTATTCTACTCAAATACCAACTAATTTAGTGCCAGATGAAATGTTTTCTTGTAATAAAATCAATTAAAAATTAATTGACTTTTCAAACATATTCATACAGGTATATTTTAGAAAATTCAGTTGTCATTTTTTCATGCTAAATTGATTACAAAAACAAATGAAGTGTAGATTTTTTAAAAAATGGATTAAACTTTGGTAGATGTCTGTTTTATTTGGCCAGGAAAGTAAAACAGGATTCAGTTCCATTTAAGAACCATTTATTAAATGTATATGTGTAAAAAACAAAATAGTGGGAGATATGAGAGACATAAATGACTATAAAGCAAGGTGGAATGTGGTAAGAACTATAAAGGTAGAAAGGGGCTTCCCTGGTGGTCCAGTGGTTAAGACTCTGCACTCCCACTGCAGGGGGCCTGAGTTTCGACCCCTGGTTGGGGTTAGATCCTGCATGCTGTGCAGCACGGAAAAAAAAAAAAAAAAAAAAAAGAGATAAAAGTAGAAAGATGAACTCTGGGATTCCACAGGAGGGGAGGCACCATGGTGTTAAGTTTATTTATTTATTTATCTTAACTTTTTATCTTATATTGGACTATAGTTGTTTAACAATGTTGTGATAGTTTCAGGTGTACAGTAAAGTGGTTGTTATACATGTATCTATTCTGTTTCAAATTATTTTCTCATTTAATTGCATAATATTGAGCAGAGTTCCCTGTGCTATACAGTAGGTACTTTCTGGTTATCCATTTTAAATATAGCAGTGTGTACATGACACCATGGTGTTAAGTTTAAAGCAGAGATATAGATGTGGAGGACCTGTGTCTAAATTCCTGTGCTCGTGTTCACTACCTGTGTGGGGGCAGGTTGGTCACTCTAGATCTGTTTTCTTGTTTGTAAATGAGGAGTGATAATAGTATCAACCTCAGGGATGTTGTAGGGATTAATGAGGTAACACATATGCAACACAGAGAGACAATTCTGAGAGGTTAAGTGATGCCTAAATTCTGTAAGTCTTACATTAAGTGATGGTGGTGGAGATGGCAGTGGAGATTGCATCTGTGACACCACTCACCCCAGAGAAGTTACTCTGTGTCTGAGAACTCAATTCCAATAGGAGCAGCTCCATACCAAGCCACAGTTCACTCAACAGACATGTATTATGCATCCACCAAAGCCAGAATTCTCCTAGACACTAGGGAATGATGAATCAGAAATATCACTGCCTACCTGGAGGTCACAGCACCAAAGAGTGGTCAGAAAGACCACTTCAGGCTGAGAAACAGCATGGGGGAAAATATAGTAGTAAGAAGCAACACTGAAGTAGAAATTACTCAAATGTCCATTAACTGATGAATGAATAAACAAAATGGGGTATATATCCATACAACCGCATATTACTCAGCCACAGAAAGGAATGAAGTACTAATATGTGCTACAACACGTATGAACCTTAAAAACATGCTAAGTGAGAAGCCAGTTGCAGAATGCTACATATTGTATGATTTGATTTATATAAAATGTCCAGAATAGGCAAATCCATAGAATCAGAAAGTAGATTATGGGTGCTTAGGAATGAGGAGATGGGGGCATGAGGAGTGAATGGTAATGGGCCTGGGGGTTTCTTTTTAGATGATGAAAATATTCTCAGATTGTAGTGATGGTTGCAGAACTCTGAATATACCAAAAACTATTGAATTCTGTGCTGAACTGTATGGTTTGTGAATTATGTTTCAATAACACTGTTTAACAAAAAAGAAGCACCAGCACCATACAGGTAGGGAACCCAGAGAAGTCATGATGTGGCTGAGGAACAGGTGTGCAGACGAAATGGCAAAGACAAGGTTGGAGGCTCGGGCAGGGTCAGTCTTGTGTGCCCTGTGAAGGAGCATTATCTTGTCAAGGAAGGAGGTCGGTGAGCACTGTGAATGGTGTGGGCACCCTGGCACCTTAAGAGACTGCATGTGCCCACATGGTCTTCATTTACTTCCACACCTGTGAGAACAGTGATGACTGGAAGGAGGGGAGCAGTAAAGACTGGAGTTAGAAAGCCTGTTACTAGGCAGTGGCAGGTGCCCAGGCAAGAGAAAGTGAAAGCTGAACCAAGGAGTAGGGATAGAAATATTTGGGAGCCGTGTAGGAAGGAAAAATGATGTGAGGGATTGGTGAAGAAAGGAGGAAAGAATGACTCCCAGGATCCTAGCAAGGATGAAGGGGTATGTGTGATCGCCACCTGAGATGAAGAGAAACAGTTTTCACAGGAATGGTGAAAAATGTTATTCTTCTATTATGAACTGCAGGTTTGTGTCTCCCCAAAATTCATATCTTGGAACCCTAATCCCCAGTGTTGATGCCGAAAGCTCGGCCTCTGTACACTGGCACCGAATCAAATCTCAGAAACAGAGTTTTGGGTGAAGTAGAAAAGAATAGCTTTATTGCTTTGCCAGGCAAAGGGGGACACAGTGGGGTCCTGCCCCGAAAAACTGTGTCCCCACCTGGGAGGATTTGATGCAGAGCTTTATAGCAGTAGTTCAAGGGTGGGGTTGCTGATAAGATCAGGGTGTGCAGGGCCTGGGCTTCTTTACTCTGATCTCGGTAATTTCTTGATGAGCTTCTCTGGTTCCTTTAATCTGGCCTCTGGTGGTTTTTGGGGTGCTCCTCCCTTGATTAGCATCTGTTCAGATCTGCCCTTTGGAACTCAGAGAAGGTCATGGAGGCTGGAGTCTGTTCCCTACAAACAAGAAAATGAGGGACAGAAAGGCATCTGTGCCCAGGAGCCCTACAGGGTCCTGCTTGGTTTCAGTGTGATGCTATTAAGAGGTGGGGCCTTTGGGAGGTAAGTAGGGTTGCATGAGGTTGTGAAGGTGGAGCCCCCATGATGGGATTACTGCCCTTATAAGAAGAGACAGGAGAGAGCTGGCTCCCTCCTGTGTTGTCCCCCTCCTATCACGTGATGAAACCAGGAAGAGGGTTCTCACCAGAACCCAACCATGCCGGCACCCTGATCTCAGACTTCCAGCCTCCAGAACTGTGAGAAATAAGTTTCTGTCATTTAAGCCACCCTGTCTATGGTAGTTTGTTATAGCAGCCCAAACTGACTAAAACACGCCTTAAAAACACTGAGACCTGAGCTGAGTTTCAATGAAGTACAGAAGCTACATCTTGCTTGATGAGGGACTGGAGCAGTTTCCACGCCTGTTCCACTTATTGTGTATAGTTCACTATCTTCTCTCTAGAGCATTTTTTTCTAACTCTAGAGTGAGATTTTTTTTTTTTCAATAAAAAGCTAAATAGTGATCAGGAAGACTTAAGGAATTATTGAGGTTCTCAATCCTTTCAAGTACTAGAGCACTGATTTTTTTTTTAAACTGCATTATTATTGGGAGAGGAGTACTTTGTTAAAAAGAAATCTTATCATACATCCCATTAAAAAACCAGGTAAAATTGGAGCCTGTTTATATCCAAAGTCCTGGAAGATGGTTCTTCTTGTCACCACTGGGATGAAGGGATGAATGTGCTCCCTGAGGTGGGTCCAGGTTCTGTGGGCTCTGACACTGATACAGTATTGGGGAGGGCAGGGTGAAAAAAGAATATGAAATTAAGACTACATTTAGGTACAGGGCCTTGGAAGGGCCATCATTAGCTTCGTGGCAAGTCTTCCTCTGATCTTAATGATGGTGGTGGTGGTGAAGGTGAGTATTCGCACATTGAGTACTTATATGCCTGGCACCCGTTCCAAGCAGTTTTCATATGTTAATCCTCAGGACAACCTAAGGCGCAAGGTACCAAAGGTACAGAGAGGTCATGCCCAAGGTGACACGGCTGGGACATGGAGTTGCTAGGAGAGAAGAAGGTAGACCAGTAAACTGGGAGCAGAGACCTCCATCAGCCCCAGCTTTGCCACCTGTTAATGGGAAACCTGGAATACATCACTGAGCCTCCTGTGGATGCCCTTGACTTCACCTGTAAACAGGAACTTTGATGCCAGCTAGGAGCCCCTCCTTTTGTTGTTCTGAGGTCGGTCAGGAGACATTGTGTGGAAGTGCTCTGTGGAGGGTGAAATGCTTGGAAATGTGTGCGATTAAATAGTTTTTCATTCTGACTCAGTATTATAGGTGAGGCTAGAAAATATATTTAATTTTGCTGACTTTTGTTTCACTTCTAATGTTTCTAATTTATTTCTTGGACATGATTTTTTTTTTTTAGGTTACTTGTCTGCAAGACTTTTTTGGTGATGATGATGTTTTTATTGCATGTGGACCTGAAAAATTCCGTTACGCCCAAGATGACTTTGTCCTGGATCACAGTGGTAAGGCAATTCATTGACCATCTTTGTAACCCTGAAATGGAGGCTTGGGATTCTCACTTGGTGCATGTTAAGTGGTCTGGTGTGTTGAAGAAAGATGGCATTGGCGGTACTCTTTTTGAATTAATGAAAGTAGAAAATAACTTGAAGATATTTACCTAGTTGCAAAAAACAAAAAACCCTAATTCAAGTGAAATAGTTTTCATTTTTTAGCAAGTTGGTTCCATCTCTTTTTACTGCATTGTTTTGCCTCTGAAATGGACTTCCTACCTTCTTCCAGAATGGTGCCTGGCTATGCCACCTTAAATGTATGGATAGTGTTGAACCTGAAACAGTTCATTATACATTTTCCATGTCCATAAAGAGATACATAAAAGGATAGTAAATTGTTAATAGTGATTATCTCAGGTTTCTTTTTATCTCATTGCTCTGTTCGCAACTTAAAAAAAAAAGTAGCATGCATTGTTTATATATGCAGGAAAAATAAAGCTATTTTCATTGATGGGATAAGAAAATCCCTTTCTCTTAATTTTAGCCAAAAAAATGGAGTTTTCAACTATTTAGCAAATAACCTCAGTGATTTCAGATGGTTTTGATCCTGGGAATATTGTTCTAATCTGTTGTCTGGAACTAATTTAAACCTGTTGCAGTATTAGTGATTATCTTAGCTGATAGTAAAGTCAACTTCATCTTTAAATGAGATAAAATCATACATAACATTTCACAGAGAAGAGAGGGTTGTTGGAGGTTCAGTCCCACTCTTTAATTTCACAAATGAGGAAAGTTGACTTTTCAAAAATTAAACTGGTGGTAAACCCTTTCCAGTTGTAGCGGTTCCGACAGTCCAAAATTACAGAAACATACTACCAAATAAATATGGCGACCATAGACTTTTTAAAGTTCAAGATGGTACATTCTGTGGTATCAAACTTCCTTGTGTAATTCTTTCCTGTTACACTATGTCACTTACCTTGGGGCAATTTATCTACTTTGTGCTTGGGGCTCATTTATCTACTCTTATCGTTTTTTTCCACTGCTGCCAAATTTCTTGGGGGTTTCTGTACTGTCTTATACTCTGTTGTAGTGGCCCTGCTTTAGATTTGTAATGCCACCGGAAAGTCCATAAAGAATTGCCAATGCTATCTATGCTAATGCTCTCCCCTGTTCTCATGGGTTGACTGAAAAACGTGCATTTACATATCATCTGTATTTTACATCTTTTTTTTTTTTTTTTTTTTTGCGGTACGCGGGCCTCTCACTGTTGTGACCTCTCCCGTTGTGGAGCACAGGCTCCAGACGCGCAGGCCCAGCGGCCGTGGCTTATGGGCCCAGCCGCTCCGCGGCACGTGGGATCCTCCCGGACCGGGGCACAAACCCATGTCCCCTGCATCGGCAGGCGGACTCTCAACCACTGCGCCACCAGGGAAGCCCCTACATCTTTTTTGACTGTAGCTTAATTTCATTTCATAATATTTCTTCGATGTCAATATGAGTCATTTTGAAAGCTGAGACGCTGAAACTTAATAATATTATACTCCAGGTTGTAAAGTTAATTTGGGTGGCAACAACAGCAATAAAACATTTATTGAGCACTTACTATATATGTACTAGGCATTGTCCTCAGGGCTTTACATGTATGTTGTAAATTTACCTAAGCTATTTGAATTGTTCATAGTTTTTTGTTGTTTTGGCTACCAAAGAACTCCAATAATTAGAAGTGGGTGAAAGCTACTGATTTCTTCCCTCTTGCTCCCTACTTAACCTTCTGCAAACTGGGGATAGTAAAAGTGGCTTTTTCATAAAATTTGATGAGGATTAAATGAGTTCATATGTGTAAAGCAGTTGGAAGTGTGCCCATTACACAGTATGTGCTATCCCTGTTGTTGCTGTTAATGTTATTATTATATCACCACCATTAGGTCATGAAATTTTATGATGAAAGCAAGTCTCAGACGTAATTCTGCCACAAGTGCATTTACTAGGAGTGATGCTGAAAGCTCAGCCTCTGTGCACCGGTGCCGAATCAAATCGCGGAGACAGAATTTTGGGTGAAGTAGAAAAGAACAGCTTTATTGCTTTGCCAGGCAGAGGGGGACACAGTGGGCTCCTTCCCTGAAAAACTGTGTGTCCCTACCCAGGGGGATTTGGTGAGGAGTTTTATAGCAATGGTTCAAGGGCAGGGTTGCTGATAAGGATCAGGGTGTTGCGTGCAGGGTCTGCACTCCTTTAATCTGGTCTCACTAGTCTTCCGATGAATTTTTCTGGTTCCTTTAATCTGGCCTCAGGTGGTTTTCTCTGGATTGAAGATTGCTGACTTCTTCCATTTATTGAGGGTTTTCGTTCTGGAAAGATCTCAAAGATATTGTTATGTGTATCCCTTGAGGGGGAACCAGGACCCTTTCCCAAGGCTGCGCTATTTTGTTTTCTTGGCTGTTCCTCCCTTGTCTCTGCATCCCCTCCCTTCCCTGATTAGCAACTGTTTGAACCTGCCCTTTGGAACTCAGGGGAAGTCATGGAAGCTGGAGTCTATTCCCTCCAAGAAACGGGGAATATATCTCTGGATATATGTATATGTATGGTTGATTCGTTTTGTTATAAAGCAGAAGCTAACACACCATTGTGGGGCAATTATACTCCAATAAAGATGGAAAGAAAGAAAGAAAGAGAGAGAAAGAGAGAAGGAAGGAAGGAAGGAAAGAAGGAAGAAAGAAAAAGAAAGGAAGGAAGGAGGGAGGGAGGTGGGGGAGGGAGGGAGAGAGGGAAAGAAAGAAAGAAAGAAAAGAAAGAAATGGGGAACACAGAAAGGCTTCTGTGCCCAGGAGCCCCACAGGGTCCTGGTAGGGTTCAGGAGGCAAAGATTTTTTTTAAAAAATCAGTTATTTAACTTGTGTTGTAATCTTGATGAGTCCCAGCTCTGTCCTTTTACACTGCTGACAACCTCTTACATTAAAAATCAGTTCAAAATCCATAGAATTCAGCTAAGCTGGTCTTAGTCAAGGAACAGAACCCTCTGTTAATGAGCTGGGTGCAGGACTGGCTCAGATTCCTACCCTGGGGGTAGTTCTGAAGTTCTGGTTATGGGCTTTCTAGATTTACCCATCCTGCTCATAAGGGAGTGGCAGTGCCTTTAGGAAGTTCTCACTAGCCCACGCACCACTCCTTCCAGCAGTGGAGTACTTTCTAACATCTGTGCTGCTAATTAACTAAGCTGCTGTTGCTGCAGCCCCCTCTGAGTAAGGTTCTGATTAGAGTCTTTCAAATGCTAACTCACCTCCCTGGTGTGTATTTTCCTGATTAGTGTACTTCCCTTGTTAATTTATTGCCCCTGGGGTATAGATTAAAACCAACCCACATTTTAATCTTTCTGCGAAAATTGAAGTATTTTAATGTGAATTACAGACAATATGTTATCTAATTGAATCCTTATAAGAAGGCTGTGAAGCAGATTTATTTTCATCCCAGTTTCATAGGGGAAAAAACTGAGACTTAGAGCTAACCAAGGTCCACCAGTTAGCAAAGTCAAATCCATGATTCATCCCAAATCTTCATGATTCCAAAAACCAGGTTCTTAATTGTTCAAATTAGAAGTGATTATTTAAGCTGTTTAATTAGTCCTGGTTCTTTACATGCTGATTTATTTGGCAATTTATGGAAAGACCAAAGTTATTGTTTAAAGCTAGTTTCCTCATTTTTGATGCTTTGGGCAGATGGAAAATAAGACAGTAAGGGGTTCATAAATTAGAGTCCTATACCCTTTTTCAAACTGTTATCAGAGACTTGGAGAGAACTCTTTGTTGTAGCCTTTGCCTATCAATGCTACTGGCCAAAATAATAATAATAAGTTGCACATGTGTAGATTAGGCTGTGGGTATGTGTGAATCAAGTTAGGACATCAGGATTTCTGTATTTATTAAGAACTCCATCTGGAACAATGAGGTGAGTCACAAGGTGTGAAGCCTAATTTAAGGTAACCTCAGGTGTGCTTTTGGGACAGTTGCTCTGTATATTAAAGTTGTTTAACATTAATGGGAAAGATGATCAGGTAATGGTTCTAGGCAGTAAACTACTGTAACATGATCTGTGATCTTCCTTTGGTTAGAATTAAAACCAGATCGACTTAAAGCACTTTCCTTCCTTTCTAGAATGCCGTGTCTTGAAGTCATCTTATTCTCGCTCCTCAGCTGTTAAGTATTCTGGATCCAAGAGCCCTGGGCCTTCTCGACGCAGCAAATCACCAGCTTCAGGTAGTTAAAGGGAAAAGGAAATGGATAGTCACAAAAGGAGCAGATCATTCTTCAGTTTTCTTTAATATGAATTAGTAGTCATTCCCATCCTTGTATGCAGCCAGGTTCCAGAATGACATATACATGACATGATTTTTAAATCCAGAAGTTTAAGTTTGTTTCTCAAAGTTATAATAAGTGTCCTAACACTTGGTTTTGTTCTGACACATTTTCTCAAGAACAATCTTATCTAGATTCTTCTGGTATTTATGTAGAAGTGTTTCACGTTTTGACCGCTGTGTGCTGCATTTTTAATTTTGTGCTATAAGATTGTGGATATTTCCTTATCTTATTGGTTTAAAACATAAACATACACGCCTAACAGTAATGTATTTACTTGATAAGTTTCCACAGGCTTTTCCACCATCGAGCAATTTAATAGGAGCAACGATTATTGTTAGAAAGTAGCACTGCTTATTTCAGAGTCAGACTTACCTCTAAGTTTCTTTCAGATCTTGAGCCTATAGATTTGTCATAATTTTGACAGCTTTTGACATTTTTAAAGAATTAAAATATCCCCTAAATCTTTATATATTGATTCTGTGAGGCTCGCTTCTAGTAGTTATAATTTTGCTGATATCGTTTCCCATTAAGGAAAGGATTGTGAAAAAACTGTGATTTTACATGTGGTAAATCTAGAACATGTGAAAGTAGTATTAACAAAAACTGTCTGAGCATCAGCCTTTTTATAAAATACTGAATTTGGGGGGTGTTCTACTTTGCTGCTGCTGCACCTATCCCACTTTCTCTAGGTCGGGTTGTTTTGCCCTCCTTTTTGTGTACACATTTAGACCTGCTGAATAACCACTCTCCTTACTGTCTCCTTTGTTTATACTGAATGTGTCCAGTAAAGAGGGGTGGCCACTACTCCAGGGCCTACTCTACGGCCAAATCCCCAGGTGAGCCATGATTATTATGGCTTTGTCGCTCTGCTGGGTTTTTGTTTTCGTCTTTCGCCATATTTCTGTTTCCTTTTGCTCCATTTCCATGAATGCATCTGGCTTTTACCAGTGGACATCTGTGCAGTTATCAAGCACTTCACAATGTTTCAGCCTCCCTTACTTGTTAGAGAGCCAGTCATCCTCAGAAGGTTGCCAGGTGCCTGTCTGTGTGTAGTCACGGTGCACAGTGATGGAGGAGACACAGCGCTTCAAGGGGTGTTAATTTGGGAGAATAGCCTGTTATTGAAAAAGGCTAAGGGTTGTTGGTAATATGAAAATGGCCATAGAAGCAATTATACTCTCCTCTCCTTCCTCCCCACCCTGGGGTTGATAGGCCCAACATCCTCTCTCTAAAATATCAACGATATGAATATTTTTAACTGAATGCATCTCTCTGGTGTTAAGCTTATTTCAAATCATATTGTGCTTTCTGTAAAGTATCTCACACTCAGGGAAAGCTAATATCACATGAAATTTGCGTAAATACACTTCACTGAGTTTACCACGTGGTAAATTAGACTTTTGTCATGTTCTTAGCTTTTGTTTTGGTGATAGGTTTACAGATGCTTATCACGTAAGTAATATAAATAAAAGTGGGGAGAGTGGTTCAAGGATCAGGTATTAAAATTAATCGAATTTTGTCTGCCTGAGGTCTAAAGAGGGAAATCAACATATTGAACTAAAGGCATGTTTCATAGCCATACTTGTCTTGTAGACCACCTTCTTCGTAACATAGTCTAATAAGTGTATAAATCTTTTAAACTGGAATTTGGAATGCTTAGAAATTGATTTGAGAAAATCTTAGGATTCCAGTACTCCAGATTTTCAAGTGAGTCCATATTTGGGTTTGGGTTAATAAAGTTTATCTTAACTTATAAGTAAAAGTTGTGAGATGTAAATCGCGTTTCAGAGGGCAAATGGCTTCTTTATAAGAGATTAACTCAAAAGCATGTTCAGCCCACACTGCAGTTATAGAAAATGGAGAGAGAGTTTTGTACTATTAAATGCCACAGTACACAGAAGTATGACTCGCTTTTACGGACTGCTTTAGCTGTAGTGTGCCTGTTACCATTTAGAACGTTCTGTGGGACTCACTGGAATTTCAAACAGAGCAAGTAACTTTGTAAATGTCATATTGTACTTTTTCACTCTTGGGACGGAAGTGCTCCCATCAGTGAAGTCTTCTGGCTGACAAAATTCCTCAACAAAACCCTAAATTTATCTGAATAGCTAAATGATATGTAATAAACACATAGAAATTAATCTGGGTGATACAAGTGGGTAAATAGCTACCACAATTTGCATCTTAAAAATTCTCACTTCAGATTTCTAGCTTGTGAATCTGTCGTAGTCCACCAGGATAAAAAAACATTCAGAGCAAACAAACAAGAAAGCCCCCAAGTTTGTTTCTTACCTTACAGTTGAGGGGAAGGGTGGATAAGAGCCTTATTTTGGGAGAGAAAATCCAGGCTGTAGTGAAGGAGGGGAGCATTGCAGAGACGCTGGGCACTGTCCATCCACCTTCCTGTTGGTAGCAGCAGTGTCGGGGGAGAGAGCACAATGTGGCTCTGTCCCAGGCCCCACTTACCCTCCCAGAGACTGGAGAGATGTGCAAATAAATGGAGTTAAGAACTTCTCACTAGACAACAACTTTTTAGAACCTTTCAAATGCTATCAGAAACTGAGAGGGCTATATATGGCTTAGTGTCTCTTTAGGATGGGAGTTATTTGAGGGTAACTATGGACATGTAGTTACTGATACCAGTTCAATCCCTGGCAGTGAGTTTTGTTAAGAAATTACGTTTAGGCAGGAGGTGTGTTTTTAGGGAAATTGGTCTGCCACAGGGCTTACCATTTGCAGGAATCAAGTTTTCTTCTTTAGTCCCTTTTCTGTCACTGTTCCAAGGAAATCTTTGATATCGAAGTGGTTTCTGAATATCAGTGAAAGGTAACAGCCCTTGGTGAGTAGGAACTGGTGACCTGAACAGGTTGCTGTGTGGAATGAAGGAGAAACGGAGCCAAACTCAGTGTCAGCTCACAGCAAGCTTACTAGTTCACTGCTCATAGTAATCTCTATTTTACGTGAATTCCTACCACCAGTTCCCTTTAAAGAGAATTTTTAAAAGAAAGAGCATTAATTGAAGTGTAACTTTACTGAAAAATAATCAGGGCTGTTGAATACTCTTAAAAGTTTCTAATTAATTGTACAGTTTCTTGTGTTGTACTTGTGCTCTAAATACCCACATACATTTGTTAAGAAAATCTAGATAACTGATAATGATTTATGAATGAGTGGTTTTAAACTAGAAACATTCAAGTTTGGTAATTTAAAAATAACTGGAAAATTTTTTCATCTTTGCTGAATTTTTACAAGGAGCAATACAATAAACATACATGACTGATTCATCTAATCACACATACTTACAGATCCAGAATTCGGCCTCCATTCAAGGACTGGTGCTTACTTTTTTGAGTCACCTATTCAGGACCTTTATCTCTGCATTTTGCTTTTTATATTTATTAGCATCATTTAAAATAACAGTTGTCTCCCCCCTTTTATTAAAAAGATTTTTTTAAAAGGAAATGGACTTTGCTTTCCTTTCCATAGAGACGAATGCCAGTTTTCATCTGCTTGGGGCAGAAGCATTGAAGATTAATGATAAAAGGGGTTAAAGCACTCCTTAGAAGAGGGAAAAAAAAAAAATATATATATATATATATATATATATATATACACACCAATACCAGATGTTAACTAATAGTTTTGTGAAATTACAGCCGAAGTGGATCCCATTGGTATAATTAGGAATAAGCCTGAGTAATACTGAGATGTGTGACTAGCATTGTATAGTATAAAATCTGCAAACTAACCCTCCCCTTGAAAGAGCCGTGCCCATACTCTTCCCTACCGAGTCTCTAAATTGAGCTTTTAACGTAGGAAGTGTATGGAAGTTTGGAGGAGGGTGTACAAAAAACCACCAAGACTTGCTAAATAATGGGGAAATTAAGTTGAGAAGACAAGAAAATGGAAGGAATTAGAAATAACTCGTCTAGATAATAAGAAATTGGCTTTCAAACAAATAAGTAGGTATTACAAGGAAAATGACCAGTAATTTTCTTTTTCCATTAAGGATATACTTAAAAAATGTGTTAGAATCATGGTGGAATTGATTTGGGAGAGCCACAAGAACGTCTTGGTTATTCAGGTTGGTGTATACTAAGACACTGGATATTGGAGTAGTTACAGGACAACCTTCAGAGTAAACCATTACAAATATAACAGCCATGCATTTCTCTACCCTTGATGGCAGGCAGGATATATGGACAAGTTGTTGCTCACATCTCTAACTCCATAACGTTTTATATATTTGTTTATGTCACTGTTGGAAAACTATTATTGAAAATAATTCTAGTTTCACTGCTTATTTGTCTGATACTTTGTCTGTAATGCAGTAAGACACATTATTTTTGCTTTTTGCTGAGTTACCGTCTGCTTTGAGCTTTGAATGAATTGAAGCTCCATTGGAGCTATACTGGGCATATGCTTAGTGTTTTTACACAATCTGGTGGTTCTGGGTTTTAATGACCTTTGTCTCCTTTGTTGTCTCGTGATCAGTTAATGGAACTCCCAGCAGCCAGCTTTCCACTCCTAAATCTACGAAATCCTCCAGTTCCTCTCCAACTAGCCCAGGAAGTTTCAGAGGATTAAAGGTATGAAATAGGATATATGGCATATTTGTGTGATTTTGTTATTTTGAGGTGCATAGTTTAGTTAACTTGTTCAGGGGCTTGGGTGCAGTAACAAATCATAAAGGAAAGAGTTTAGGATTTGGAGCCAGGAAGACCTGGCTTTGAATCTTGTGTCCTTTTTCATCTCATAATTTGGGCCAATTCATTTAACTCTTCTGAGCTAAAGTGTTCCCATCTCTTAAATGGGAATATAAAGTTGTGGTTAGGGTTGAACATAATGTGGTTTTATATAAATAAATAGCAGTTTTCCTATTATTATCAAAATGATTTACAATGGCAAAGCCTTGGAGAACACCATGATTCTTTTTTAAAATGTCATTTAAAATCATGATTTTAATACCGTTAACATAATTTGACTGTGTGAAAGTCTAAAACAGTGAAATTCTAGCATAATACTTATATACACAAGTTAGTAACACAAGAAAAATATGTTCATTTTGGTGAAGAACTTAGGAATAAATCTTAGGTTTTGACTGTGGTGTCCTAAAAATATAAACAGTAACTTAACATGATTAAGCAGTTGGTTTAATAGGCATTTTATCTAATAGAGAAGGAGAAGAATGAATGATGAGCAAAACCAAATTTGCAGGATTTCCACAAGTTTAATTTGATTGAGTAGCCCTCAATAATTTAAGTTTATAAGAGGAAATTTGCCCGGTAAAAAATCAGTACGTGAATTTTCTTAAAGATTGAAAGTGTCCTTTTGTAGAAACAGTCACATTGTCTGTATGGTAATGCACTTTAGGAAGATGGAAGTGTACACAGCGCCATGATGTACACGCGTATTAACTTTCATTCTCTTGGAGTGTTTAACATCGGAAGCACCTTCGTTAGGAATACATTCTTGAAAGTTGGTTGCCCCAACACTTCAGATATCGTCCAAGTGGTTTTCTTTACTTTAAGGATGCTGAAAAACATTTTTCACTGATAAAGTGAAAGGTAAAAGCCCCAGCATGCCTGGTGAATGTGGGGTGGGAACCTGCTGGGCCGGCAGGGCGGTGGGCCTGCGGGTCCTCACTGCCTGCGGGGCTCTGTTCTCCACCTGACACTCAGATGTGCTTGTCCTGTCCTGAGGATGTTGTATCTACCTCAGAGTGAACTGCATGGTTCTTGTCTGAGTGCCTGACTTCAAAAGGAGAAGTTTCTTCTGGAAAAGGACAGATCAGATTGTCTGTTTTTGTGCCTGCTTGCTTATGTATGTTGGCAGAATTTGGACTGAGACGAATAGTCAGTTTGGGATTGGGAACACATAAGCTCTCAGTAATCTCTACGTACTGGAAGTTCCTTATATTTATCAAAAGAACTGGCCATTTTCTGAAGTGCTAAATTGGCTTAGGTCAGTGTATAATATGATTTCAGTGGAATTTTTTAAAGATTTATTTATTATTATTATTATTTATTTTTGGCTGTGTTGGGTCTTAGTTTTGGCATGCGGGGTGCACGGGCTTCTCTTTTCTAGTTGTGGCGCACAGGCTCCAGGGCGCATGGGCTGTGTAGTTGTGACATGCGGGCTTAGTTGCCCCACGGCATGTGGGATCTTAGTTCCCTGACCAGGGATCGAACCCACGTCCCCTGCTTTGTAAGGTGGATTCTTTACTGCTGGACCACCAGGGAAGTCCCTCAATGGAATTCTTAAATGTCAACCCCCCAAAAAAAGTTATATCCGTTAAAAATCACTCATGTAATTATTTTCAGCTTTTCTTTCCCAACTTATTTTCTCCAGAATAGATTGGAGATCTATTTTAATCTTTTTAATCCAGGTAACTTTCAAGAGAACTAGAGTTAAAGATCAAGTTGATTCACCTCTTTTCCAGTTCCAGTTGTTTCATCCTTTGTTAAAACTAAAGCAAGTTGTTCCAAGTGCTGGTAATTGTCAACCTAGGGCAGACCTAACCTAAGCTTTGCAGTGATCCGCCTGCAAAGGTCACTTGTATTTCTCCCTCAGGCTGTTGCTGTAGGCAGGGCTGCTCTGATCCTTGACCTAGGACTGCGTGCGGCCATCCCAGAAGGTACCTTACCCAGGGTCTTGGTCATTTCCCCTTTTTTTTTGTTATCCATTGGTAACCTGGTCTCCCATCTTTCTTCCCAGTCCATCTTCAGCTCTCAGCCCAAGATTGTCCTTTTTTTGTTGTTGCCACTGGCTCAATTGGTGCTGCTTAATGCTCTGAGTCCAGACCCATTCCTTCATGTATGTGCACAGACTTGCAGGAGATCACTCACAGATGCGAAGTCTGGAGTGAAGAGGCATGGGATTTTTAAAACATGCTAATAAGTTGTATTATTGCAGAGACATTAGATAAAATTGTTCTCACTACACTAGGTGTATCTTAATTATTAGAGTAACCCCAGCCTTTAGCACGCACAGTTCCATGGCACATGGTAAGTGCTCAAGGATCACTTATTGATGCAGAAATAAATGAAGAAGGTTAGGGAAATGCTGATTCCTGGTCAAGAGTAAAGATGAGATTACCAGTAAGATAAAGAGTAGTGGTTCTTCCATGACCTCCCACCCCTTCCTTCCTCCTCTACCACACCTGGGGCTTGGCTAACAGCTGTGAGACCTCCTCTTGAGTTTTCTTTTGATCATCTGTAAAATAAGGATGTTTGACCTTAGATAACTTCTAGAGTGCTAAGATTAGAGTTCTTTTAAGTTGCCCAAAAATCTGTCTCGGAAGCTGGAGAGTCTATTTCTCTTCCTCTCACTTTAAAGCTGATGGAGAATCACTGAATCTTACATTAAATATTCGCAGCTAAACAAGTCTCTGCCACACCCATCAGCTGTTTGGACACAAAGCTAAGTACCTCTAACCCCTGCCTGTTCCCAGGGGTCGTACTTTGTGGACATTTCATCTCCTCACGGTTCCCCACAGTCCATGGTGTGTATTGCCCTTGGAATGAAAACCTGCCTTTGAAATACTGCAGCTTAGTTGTTCTCTTCACTGTACAAAATACCGTAATTTTGATGTCATTGTAGAGCTCTAGTCAGCATCTGTCCGCGTTTGCATTATTTTTTCTATTCAGTGACATTACAGATGGAGAATTACAGATAATTACCATGTGTTAGTGCTATGCTTTTTCCTTCCCCTTCATTTAAAATAGCTTATTAAGATCATTTAAGAGGAGATGTCTGACAATGGAGAGCTGTTTTTCATGGGCAGGAACCCTTTACCACTATTTATCCTACTTAGATACTTTCATGGCTTTGGGGATAGTGTTTTTCCAGGGAATCAGGGAATTGACAAAAGCAAGCAAACCAAGCCAGGACAACGTATGCAGGAGTTGGCACCCACATCACTCTGTATCCCAGGACACAGTTTCTGGCAGCTGGCTTTTTTTCTCTACTATCTGGGTTTTACTTACTAGGGAATTAAGCAAAATTAAGTCAAAGGTAAGCAGAATTTGATATCCTGTCACAGTTTTTCCCCCCTTTGTGCCAGTTTCTGGGAACCATTTTGTGTTTGGGTGGAGACACTGAAAGAACTGAAAATGGAAATAGTGACATTGTGATGTTTAATCTCTAACCCAGAGCGTCGTTTTTGTTTGCTCCTTGAAGAAGACAGGAATTTAGAAGCAGCTCCCCCTCCTCCACAAAAAGCCCTCATTGTTTTCTCGATAGGACTCTTGTGAAGAAGACAACTCTGCTCCATTTATACCTGTTCATAGAAGGTCAAGCTCTCTAAGGGGCTGGACCAAAGGTAGGAGAAGAAGCAAAGCTTTCCTCAAATTGGGAATGTTTTTTTGCAAGGTGGGGTGTTAAGAAATAGTGTGGCAGGGCAGAAATAGAGACACAGATGTAGAGAACAAACGTATGGACACCAAGGGGGGAAAGCAGAGGCGGGTGGAGGTGGTGGTGTGATGAATTGGGAGATTGGGATTGACATGTATACACTGATGGGTATAAAATGGATGACTAATAAGAACCTGCTGTATAAAAAAATAAATAAAAGAAAATTAAAAAAAAAAAAGAAATAGTGTGGCGACCAAGTAATTAAGGTTCTTTAAACCTAAAACCAAAAGATGTTAGGACAACTGAGAGTTAGTTGTTCCTCAGTTATAACTCTTTGGTTTTGCTAGACAGTTACCCAAAACCATAGAATATGGAAACTGGAAGTGGCCTCAGATCTTTTAGTTTGTCTTCATTGTATAGATGGAGAATCTGAGGTGCACTCAAGTCTCTCCCTCTGTTACAGTTTCTCATCTTGGACTTTCTTTTATTATTATTTTAATTTTTTTTTGCTCTAAAACGAGTGTGATGCCATATGAAGTCAATGTTATTCTCTCACCATGTACTCTGTAAGAGGTGGGTGTGGGTATTTGGCCAGCGTTTGAGTATATGCTAAAGTAGTATGATCAGTATTCACAGCAGCTTTTTAGGAAGTATGAAAAAAACATTGTACTGGTCATGACAGTGACATGGTATAGTCAGCTGCCTTTTAAGAGGTCCTGTCTGTTCAGTGTTAAGTGATTTTTAAAAATAATAACCTGTTTTCCTGACTAGCTTAAAGATGGATTTGAGATGGTTTCGGATGCAGTTAGGTTATGCTATTGGGACGATAAACTCACCTTGACCTAAAAAAAAAAAAGAATCTGAGGTGCAGAGATGTGAAGTGAGTGGCTCTAGGTCCCAGTGGCCAGTTGGGATCTGTGACCCTTTCACAGTCTCTGTCTCTAACTTTTGACCTTCCCCCATCCCTGGTGGGCCTGCTTCAGTGACCCCAACACAGGTACCCCTTGGAAAAGCTGTGCTGTGTAGGCCTTTTAGGAGGGTGAGTGCCTGGGTTTAGATACACACAAATGCTCTGAAGAAAAACGGGTTGTGAGACTGGGAAAGGAATAAGGAGAGGGGAGGGTTGGGAAAAGGGAGAGGTGATCCTGGGGTAGGGGAGTGGGGAGAGGCCAGAGGAAGGGCGAGGAAGACAGAGAAGAACTCCTGTTGGCAGCTCTTCCTGGGAGGCTTGGTG